GTCACTGTATTTTATTGAAATTTACCTATATGTGAAAGGAGAAAATTGTACCTAACTGCGCTCACATGCTATTTTTTAAAAAATTGTAAAATCTAGTTGGCCTTTCCCATTATAAACAGATGGACGGAACTAGATTGTCTTACGTAAGAATGAATTCATATGCTAATCAAGGCACAGGCGATACTTTCTAACTGACCAATCAGCTAAATGAAATTCGTTACGAGTGAGTACCACAAAAATACTATGGAAACATGCTTGGAATTTTACTGCTTTCCGATATATTTTTTTTGTATTTGAGTCACAGATTAGACACGGATCTACATATGTACCATTTCCGAGGCCACAGTAAAATTTATATACAGTTACAAATAATTCATAGAATATACATGATATAGGCCTACATTAGTTTAAAGTTTTGTCGCGTGTTTGGAGAGGAATTCACTAAGTCTACACGTACATGTACACTGTATTCCCGAGTATCGGTGAATACAAGTTTCATGTGCATTTTATGTCCTAAAAACCATAAATGCTGAAAATCCATGCATATTATTAAGAATAAACAGCATTGTCTGACAATTGTAAAGGTTTGAAATGTAGAAAAGGATAACAATTAAATTTACCTAAACCACGTGTCTGCGATAAAATGTAAACGTAGTAAACCAGCATGTTTTGTTGTTCTGTCATCGGATTGGACAATGACTATGTGCGAAATAATAACAATAACCGTATAAGGTCTTCTCGGACACGCATATCCCTCTATTGTACTAAGACCCGCCTATTCTCTTGCCATAAAAGAAAATATTCGCACAAACCTGGCCGAATTTAGCTGTGATAGGGTCTAAAAAATCAAAGATAATGCAGTATTCCGTATAATTAAAATGTGTCTGAACTATTGAAACTATTCAAAAGGCGTCGTATTTATTCACTCATGTTTGAAAACTACCAAAATCGTTGTAGATTAAATATAATTCGTCGTGGAAAAAGGGGCCCCATATAGCAGTTATGTCACCTCATCCTTTATCAGACCTCAAAAAAGGTAGCAATGAAATATGACCTCAATTTTAAGCCATAAGTTGAGCATGAATTTAGGACCATAAGTATTGTACTTAATTTTCCTATTCTCCTTTCAGCTGTTCATTCTACCATTCTTACTCCCCGTTCAGCTGTTCATTCTATATTAATTTAATTTCTTACTCTCCTTTCAGCTGTTCATTCTACATTTCTTACTACCCTCTAGCTCAGCTGTTCATTCTACATTTCTTACTACCCTCTCAGCTGTTCATTCTACATTTCTTACTCTCATTTCAGCTGTTCTTCAGAGCTGATGGAGGCCGATACATCCATGGACGACCTGGATAGGACGATCCTGATTGACGTCATGTGGAGGGATGCACTTGGGTAAGTCATATTTTTACTTCTTTGTAGTTCATTGAAGTAACAAAAATATATTTTTAAAATAAATTGCATGACTGCAGAAATGTAAACAAAAGTGCTGGTCATTTTTTAATTAGAAAGTTATTAAGTTAAACTTAATTTTATACTAGGTCTACAAGCTAATTACCAGATATAATTTGTGTCTTAAATGAGTGCCTTAACTAAATTTCAGGTTATATGCAACATACGTACAAAGTCGTAGGCTCAAGTGAGCTTTTCTTATCAAAGTTTTTCCGTTGTCTCTCGTTGTTTGTCATTGTTGTTTGTCATTGATGTTGTAAACTTTTCACATTTTCATCTTCTTCTCATAAACTGCTGGATCAATTTCCACCAAACTTGCTACAAGTTATCCTTGGGAAAAGGGGATTCAAGTTACTTCAAATGAAGGGCCATGCACTCCCTCTTCCAAGGGAAAATAATTATGAATTAGTGAAAAATTAATGGCATTTTTAAGAATCTTCTTCTTCTCTAAAACCACTGGGCTAGGGAACATGAAACTCATGTGGAATCATCCTCAGGTAGTGTAGATTTAAGTTTCTTTAAATTATGACCCCTAGGGGAAAGGGTGGGCCACAATGGCCTATCAAAGTTTTACATACTAATATATAGGAAAAATATTTAAAAATATTAAGAACCATTGAGACAGGAAAATATATTTTGAATCATCCTCAGATAGTGTAGATTCAAGTTTCTTCAAATTATCACCCCCGTTCGGTAGGGTACGTACGTGGGTTCACAATGGCCGACCAAAGATTTACATACGAATATATATGTAAAATCTTGAAAATCTTCTTCTCAAGAACCATTGAGAGAGGAAAGATGGAACTCATGTGGATCATCCTTAGGTTGTGTACATTCATTTTTTACATAAGGATTTATTGAAAGAACAGGAAAGATGAATTAGTTTACATTCAAATTTGTTTAAATTAATTTTAATCAAAGTTTTCATATAGGAATATATAGAAAAAAATCTCTAAATATCTTTTTAAGTATACTGCAAAGCCATGATTAGTCAGTGATATTTATATGGAAGCATCCTCAGGAAGTGCATGTAGATTTAAGTTTGTTCAAATAATGACCCCCAGGGATAGGGTGGGGCAATAATGGGCATTCTCAATTTAGTTATATGCAAATTGTACAAAGTTGTAGGCTCAAGTGAGCTTTTTTATCAAAATTTTTCCGTTGTCTCTCGTTGTTTGTCATTGTTGTTTGTCATTGATGTTGTAAACTTTTTACATTTTCATCTTAATTAATATTCTTCTCATAAACTGCTGGATCAATTTCCACCAAACTTGCTACAAGTTATCCTTGGGAAAAGGGGATTCAATATACTTCAAATGAAGGGCCATGCACTCCCTCTTCCAAGGGAAAATAATTATGAATTAGTGAAAAATTAATGGCATTTTTAAGAATTTTCTTCTTCTCTAAAACCACTGGGCTAGAGAAGATGAAACTCAAGTGGAATCATCCTCAAGTAGTGTAGATTGAAGTTTGTTCAAATTATGACCCCTAGAGGAAAGGATGAGGCCACAATGACCTATCAAAGTTTTACATACTAATGTATAGGAAAAATATTTAAAAATCTTTTTCCTAAGAACCATTGAGACAGGAAATATGAAACTCATATTGAATCATCCTCAGATAGTGTAGATTCAAGTTTCTTCAAATTAGGGTGGGGCCACAATGGCCAATCAAAGTTTTACATATAGGAATATATAGAAAAAAAATCTCTAAAAATCTTTTTAATTACTGCAAAGCCATGATTAGTCAGTGATACTTATGGAAGCATACCACAGATGCCATAAACATGACCCAGCAGGAAGGATAACTCCTATATTAAGTAGATTTAGTCTTTTTAGTGAAAATATTGAGTAATATTTTATCATGATAATGATTGATATATGTAAAATTACACTTTTGCTTAAAAAAAATCCGTAAAAACTATTTTGATGCAGTAAAAAGTAGATTTCTTTCATTTTCCTTTTAAGGAATATTTTAAATCGTGAATAATAATAATCAATTTTTATCGGGATCCAAACATGAAAGTGATTCGAAACCTGATTTTAACACATTGATAAGACAAACAGAATCATCTGTTCAGAAATGTACTGATGGATATTTTTACATGACCAGTCGGGCTACCTTGAGGTGATATTCTGAATCTAGACCGGACCTATAACTTTTACTTGTCAGAGTTGGTCGGACGTGCCTTAATGTCAAGCCCCGATATCTCAGTTGATTTGATATGCAAGAGCATGCTCTATATGTGTGAACAATTTTTTAAACAAGGTAAATCAATGACAAGCAAATTAATTAAACAAAAATATCATCAGACTTGTTTTACAGTCATCATTTTGTAAGTTCTATGGTCGATACAATGACCTTGTCATACAAATACAATTTTTCATTGAGTCAAATGCTGACTGACGTTTTTCATACTAATTAAGGTCTTCCGTTTCCAACGGAAGACCTTCTACTGATTCTGTTGGTAAAGATTATTATTCTTTTTTTTTTCTTCTACTTCCTAGACGCCAACTTTGAGGCCTCATATCTCACTCATTTATCAACGGATTTTGCTCAAATTTTCAGACATTATAGACATCAATAAACTCTATCAGAGTGCTATCTAACATTTCAAAAATTCACTTCCGCTTTTGAGTTATTCCCCTTTAAACGAAAATTTATAGGCTTTCGTTTCCGGATAAAGGCTCAGAAACCACAAAAGCTGGAGCAAAATTTTTACTGATTTTGGACAACAGAGGGATTGAAGTTGTGCACATCTATTTTTGTTTTTTGATTTCTGTATTCACAATGGCGCTATATAGGGGTCAAAAATTAGAACGCCTAAAAGAGCAAAAATTTACTCATATTTTCCTTTTTATCTTGAAAACTAAAAATATTTTGTTAAGACATAATGAACAAAAGTTGTGCATAATTGCAAGGGCTTTCATGTAATACTATTCAAAAGGGACTGGCCCCTATAATAAGGGCTCTATGGAACTTGAAAGTTTTTGCTTTATAACTCAAAAACGGTAAATATTTCGATCTAGGTCTTACGAACAAAATTGCTCTTTTACACCTTTTTGATCTGATGAAAATGCTGTTTTGTTCGATTATGCTGGGAATATTGGTAATAACGCGGTTAAAGCAGGCAAGGTAAACAGGTTGCGTTTTTCGGATTACATTTACCTTGTTTGTTTACAATTATATAACACGCCTCCCTTGATAGCGTGGGGCAAAGTCGGTCACCGGGAATCGATAGGCGGGTAATCCAGCGACCCACAGTTATACACAAATAAAAACCCAGAATGGTTAAATTTATTCTAATTGTACCTTAAATACTATCTCTGTCCTATAAAAATATTATTTTGTTCGAGTCTTACTTATTATAGGAAAGAAAGCTAGGCAGTTCTCATCTTGCTATTGAAGGAAAACTCTGTAGTCTTTCTGCGCAGAATTGAAGTAAACATGCCGTAAATAATAAATATTTTACAATGCTGTATCACATCTCTTTTTTTAATTAGGTTTTAATTAAACATGTTCTTTGGTTCCCATTCAGAGTATTCAATGGCATCATTTTCCTTTTATTAATCAAATGTTTCCAAGAGAAAGAGTTTTAGAAAAAAGCTTTTCTTCGTTAAAATATGAACACAAACAATATGAACGAAAACGATACACGCCCGGATCTCATAAAAAGAACTTTTAAAGAGTCAAATAGTACAGAAATTTTTTACTGCGCAATTCTAACATTCACCTGGAACCCAGATTTTAAGTGTGTTGACCATTGCATGTTGCGTAATCTTACGATTATACGCTTCCAAGAAAATCTTAAGCGACACGCCGCAGCGAACCATTGACCCCGCAGTCCTAGGCAAATTAATTGGTATATTAAAACCATTTTACAATCAATGGAAATTTATTATTGTCCGATATTTGAGATTAATATGTTGGCTTATCTTTGTTCTATATTTGATCGTGATACATGCATGTTTATCTAAAACAGCTATCTTGGTTTTGTGTTTGTTTACAATTACGCGACAAACCAATCCTTCCGTCGCTTGTTGACATTAATTTACACAGCGTGGTCGAATGTTAAATCTTTTTTTACAAACTTACGGAAAACATTATTTTCTGTAAGTAAATCAAATCTTTCAAAATATTTTAAAATGTCTTAGGTTTGACTTCAGAACAAAACGTTGTGGTATTTATTTTACATGTACATTATTTAGTCTTCAATTTTTATAGTTCGTTAGCTCCATGTGTAATTTTACTTTTCGTTTTGAGGATTCATAGCGTAAGGACTCGATCTGCGGTTACTTTACTTGAACCAATATTGATTTAAATGCACAAGCTTAATTAGCACTTTTAACTCATAAATAAATCCGTTTTCAACACAAATTTTCCCAAACACATTTTTTTTTGTTCATCACAGATTTTTACCATGGCTATTTCAGTTTTAAATTTTAAAGAAAATCTTCCGAATCATAAGGATCTATTCAGAATTTTACTCATAAATGAAATGAACTAAACATCGATAAGTATCTCCGGCACGTTTAAACTTCATAAGTGACTTCTGTGCTTGCACAATGCCTATTTATATTACACGTTGAATAGTCAAGTTGAAAAAATAATTCAAGATTTTAAAGTAATGAATTTTATTTGTTTTATAATTTATTCAAAACCTGTAAATGATTAGTATAGTGCGTAACCTTTTAATTTTGTTCCGTGATTTTAAAAATATCAGTAGCAGAGTATACAATGTACATGTAAGTAGTACATGAAATAAACCCGTATCGTATGTACAGAATCGAAAATTTAAGAACTTATATATAACAATCTACAGCTACTGAATATCACACACTTATCATGGTAATTATCACACCCTCGCGTTAGATGCGTGTGCTTGTCAGTAAAGCCACTAGGGTGGGTTATTAAGTAAATGAAGATGAAGCCGCGTTACGATTTGCAAGCCTTTATTTCTCGTGTTTCAGATTGAGGGTTTGTCTTGACAAAGAGCCAAGGTTATTTTGTTAAAATCAAGGTCACTGACATAAGAAATCTTTTCTTTTCCCCGCTTTGAACTAGTAAGTGAAAATCATTTGGAGGCTCTTACTTGAAACATAGATTACTTATGATTGGAGGTTGTGTCATGACCCTGATCAAAGGTCTTTCTGGCAAATCAAGGTCACTGACAGAGAAAAAATGTTTAAGCATAACTTTGTAATTAAGTTCACTGGAGGCTCATTCTGAGAAGAAAGGTTGTTCACATTAGAAAGTGCAGTAACCTTGACCCAAGGCCGGTACTTCCTGTCCACAGCTCCAACGGAAGACCTACCCGTTGCTTTGCAACGAGCTCGGCTCTAGTTGTTAGTCTAGTATTTATGCACTGAATTTACGATGGATTTTTTCCCGTTATTTTCCAATCACAATTATTCTCTTATCTAGATGTAAGGAACCCACTCTCTCTCTCTCTCTCTCTCTTTTTTAGCTCACAAGCTCTCTTTTTTTAGCCAACAAAAGTTTAAATGCTTATTCAATTGATTCAAACCTTATTATCTCGAGCTTGATAGGACCATGAAAAACTTAGAGAATCATTCCAGGATTCGAGATATCCAGAGTAAACTACATATAGAATAGGGCAACCAGGGACTTCAGTGTCACCTTGACATATCCATTGTATACGAGATATTGGTGTGTGAGATAATGAGGTTGTACTGTTATCTGTTTTTCAGTATTCCTTCGAGTAAGAGGAGCCCATCACCTTGACATATCCATTGTATCTGAGATATTGGTGTGTGAGATAATGAGGTTGTACTGTTATCTGTTTTTCAGTATTCCACCGAGGAAGAGGAGCCCATCACCTTGACATATCCATTGTATCTGAGATATTGGTGTGTGAGATAATGAGGTTGTACTGTTATCTGTTTTTCAGTATTCCGTCGAGGAGGAGGAGCCCTTCTGAGGAGGACCAGCTTTTTGAGGAACTGATGGAAGAGGGACGATTGTAAGTCAAAACTTTGTGATAAGGTTCACATGTTGATTGAATGAAAACTCAGAATTTTTAATTTCTTTTAAAGAGATATGTTTTTGAAAAAAGGTTTGGTGTTCAATTAGCTGTCAATTTGTGAATATTTCCATTTCTATCCATTTTCTCTTTGATAACTCCTAGTTAAAAGAGTTGATTTCTTGATAATTCTACTGTAATATAAATTAGGCAAATCGATTGGTAAGGAGCTAAGGAGGCCTAATACACACGTAAATCCAGTGCGCATCTGTGTTTGTGTCTGACGCGAAGGAGGCCACATATGCATGTAAATCTCATGCGGCTGTCTTTCTGTTTGACACTAGTGGACAAGAACTAATTGAAATTATCATGGGAGAAATTTAAATCTAAAATTGTCTAAATTTTAAAATCTATAAATCTACAATTTGATTTCATAATGAAATGGAAATATTATGATTCACTGTCTATATAGTTAGTATAGAATGCCAAGGATGCCAACGATAGTGTGAAACTTGGGATCATTAATTTCTGCGTAACAGGCTCATCTCATGTTTCCCACTATCGTTGATGCTCTGGCATACTAGTATTTCCCACTATCTCATGTTTTCCACTATCGTTGATGCTCTGGCATACTAGTATACTAATAACTAAACAGTAATTCCTTAAATATATACATATGATTTAGAAATTGATATTTTGAAAGTTCATTGAATTTCAGTGTAATTGTGTCTGATGATTTTTAGCAGATAGACGAGTGTCAGGTTACCTTTGTCTTTAGACAGGAAATAATATAATTATGTCTTAAGACTGGACAGATAATGTTATGGTGTTCATGTCCATCTGTCTGTCTCTCTGTTAACTCTTATCATAACCGGCTCATAACTTATGACTTAGATATGAAGCAATAATCAATTTTTAGCTCACTTCAACAAAGTTGGGGGAGCTTAAGAGATACCCTCTGGCGTCATAGTCAACATCGACATCCCAGGTTAAGGTTCAATTTATTGAAGCAGTTTTCTTTTTATTAAGTACTTCCATGCTCTAAATTGATAAGACATGCATGGAAGATGCTTCTAGTGTGTTTAATTGTACAAGTCAAGGTTTCTTAGCAAAGAAATGACCAGGTTAATGGTTTAATAAAGTTGATAAAAATTCATCACAATTGTGTTAATTAAGATGAGTATCAGGTACATATAATTCTATGCCTGTCTTTATACAAGAAATGATATTATAACTGTGTGAGAACTGGGCAGTTAATATCATGTTATGGTGTTCATATCCATCCATCTAGCTGTCTTTAACTCCTTTCAAATCTGGCTCAAATGTTTAACTTAAAATATGAAATGTAGAGTAATCCATTTTTTTCCCTTCCACTTTTGAAACTGTTTATAATTTTTAAAACATATTGTTTACCAATATGTGAGGAATAGGTGAACGGGGCAAAAATTTCTCTGTATACAGAAATACACAGCGAAACTTTTTTTTATCAAATTGCCTTATTTCAAATTTGCCCACAAGCAACAAGAGAAATAAAACAATGACAGAGTTTGACCCTGGACTTGTAAATTGTAGGGATGAGGAGAGGCTTCGTTTGATAGATGAGAGCGTGCGTGCGGCCGAGGAGGAGCTGAGGCTACTGAGAGAGGAGACAGAGGTAAACATTAACAGTCTAACACAGCTCGTGCCCCGTGTACAAAAATAGTTTACGTTTCACAGGTGTACTGTAGATCACTAATTTTTCGCGACACCTTATTTTTGCAACAAAGTCATTGACTCTTGATAAGCGAGACATAATTTTCGCGAAATGTGGTTATTGCTTTATATATTTTAAGGAATACTATTATACGTGAGAATTAAATTTTCGCGAGCACACTGTCTCGCGTAATTGCGCGAAAATAAAGTTCTCGCAAATAAAAAGTGATTTACAGTATTCAATTTGTTAGACTGTGTACAGAGCACTCAGAGCATAGAATGACAATACTGGTGAAGGGTCTCTTACTTTTGAACATTTCTACACTGAATTTTCTGTATTATAGTTTTAATATTATTCATTAAAGTACACAACAAAATTGCCACTTTTCTAAAGTATTTAGAATAAAAATTATAATTTGTGAAAGTGCAAGGATGTGTCAATCAAACCCATCAAGAAATACTAAGTTTCAATTACTTACAGATGAAAAATACCGTATAACGGGCGTTTTCTGCGGTTGGAAATTTTTGTGATCTAACCCCTGAAAGGTAGCAAATTTATTTTTGCGTTTTCAATTTCTGGGGTTGGACTTTACCGCAAAAAATTATTTACGGGTTACAGTATAGGATCATCAAACTCTGAGATTTTTTTACAACGCTGCTATTATTAAGTTACGTAAAATCATCTAGGCACATTATTTAAAGGTCATTAGGTGCAATCAGAGAACAATTGTATTACGCTATTAAACTTGATTAAACTACTTGCTTTTAGTTACTCTTTGTAAAATATGATGCTCAGTCCAAAATAAAATAATTTAAATAAAGGTAATGATAATTAATGTCTCCAAGCCATTATCTAAAATACCTGTGCACTTAAAATTAATTGCAGCTATCAAAAAAGCTAAAACAGACGGTGGCATAATCAACCAAACCCAAAATCATGTGTCATATTCATTGAGGCGTAACTAATACTGTCAGTCGTCTGATTTGAATAAAATTCACGAGACAATCAAACCATATTGTAAACACAAGCATTATTTTAATCAGTCTCAAGACAATTCACAGGATTAAAAAGTGGAAAATAAGATTGAAAGAAAAATTGCCCAACTGCTATCGTAGTTTCAATGTAGGCCGAATTTTCTCTCTAATGAAGACACGTTTATTCATGAGTGTGCAGACGCACCACTTATTATGCTTGCATGTATAAAATACCTGGAATCATATAAAAATATTTTTTGATTTTAATTTTTGTGGATTTGTTCCATCCGCAAAATTTGGACAACTGCAGAAAATACCTGTTATACGGTATTCATGAAATTTTTTTGTGACATGATATTTTAAGTTAATATTTTCTAGGGATGGCAATCAATTGCAGAATTGCTTATCGGTTAACCGCAAAACGTTCCGACCGATTAACCGGTTAGTCGTATCAAGATAATTTATACATTCTAGCTGACATTTTCTTTTCATATAAACAAAAAGGCTAAAAAGATATTAGAAATTAAGTTACATTCTGTTTATTATTTTGATCGGGAAATTTTATGTCCATAAGAGATTATTTTATTTCAATTTCAATAGACAATTAAAAATTAAGTTAACCATGAATCTTGCTTGAGAAGTCAGACAGGAATAATTTTCCAGCGTAGAATTCAAGAAGTTAATTCTGCGTTGTCACCATAATCAGAACTACATGTACCGTATATACTCGCCTATAAGTCGGTTTTTTGGGAGTCAAAATCTGGTTCAAAACGACGTGTCCGACTTATAGGCGCGTTATAAAAAGAATGGTTTTATATAAGGTCAGTCCAATTAAAATATAAGCTTATTAACTACAACCGACTTATAGGCGAGTATATACGGTAGTCAATGTCTGAACTTTCTTTTAATTTATAATTACAACGCCCTTATTATAATATAATTTAATAGATAACGGCAAAATAAATACATTCTACAATTGAAAGTGCTTAACGGTGATGTTTTTAATATCATTAAAAAAAAACAACTTGACAATCTGAGTAATGGCATGAAGTTATAAAAACAGTAATTAACTCTTTACCAATTGAACAATTATCATGTCATCTCAATCAAGGAGAGCTATAATTTCATCCAAATATTCTTAATTATAAGATGTGTAAAAACACCAAAAAATATGTATGCAGCGCTTTCCTTTCTAAAAAAAAAAAAATAAGGGATTTAAAGGAAACTGCGCTCAAATTTACATAAATTTTATTTTTTCTGACTAACCGATTACGAATTTTCTAACAGATTAAAATCATTCCGACCGATTAATCGATTAACCAGTTAGAAAGTGCAATCCCTAATATTTTCTAAAATTTTCTGTATAATATAACGACTAATATTTAGAATTCTTCAGAAAATATTAACTCAAATCTGTGTCTTTGCACCTTAAAAGTGTTTAATGAATAAAATCTTAATACATGTAAATTTGTTTTTATATTATTATAGACAGAGTTCAAAATAGCTTCGTTTCATTTTCAGGATGTGGAGCTGGCTGCAGTGCCTACTTTCCCTGGTGTCGAGCCTGTGGAGCCAGCCGTCCCTGGTGTGGAGCCTGTGGAGCCAGATGAGGAGCCCGCCATCCCTGGAGTGGTACCTGTGGAGCCAGATGAGGAGCCCGCCATCCCTGGTGTGGAGCCTACTGTCCCTGGTGTGGAGCCAGATGAGGAGCCCGCTGTCCCTGATGTGGAGCCTGTGGAGCCAGATGAGGAGCCTGCCATCCCTGATGTGGAGCCTGAGGAGTCCGCCGTCCATGTTGTGGAGCCTGTGGAGCCAGATGAGGAGCTCGCCGTCCATGTTGTGGAGCCTGTGGAGCCAGATGAGGAGCTCGCCGTCCATGTTGTGGTGCCTGTGGAGTCAGATGAGGAGCCTGCCATCCCTGATGTGGAGCCTGTGGAGTCAGATGAGGATTCCTTCTTCTCTGATGTGGAGCCTGTCCAGTCAGATGAGGAGCCTGCCGTCCCTGGTGTGGAGCCAGATGAGGAGCCTGTCATTCCTGATGTGGAGCCTGTGGAGTCAGATGTGGAGCCTGTCATCTCTGATGTGGAGCCTGTGGAGTCAGATGTGGAGCCCGTCATCCCTGATGTGGAGCCTGTGGAGCCAGATGAGGAGCCTGCCATCCCTGGTGTGGAGCCAGATGAGGAGCCCATCATTCCTGATGTGGAGCCTGTGGAGTCAGATGTGGAGCCCGTCATCCCTGATGTGGAGCCTGAGGAGCCAGATGAGGAGCCAGCCGTCCCTGGTGTGGGGTCTGTGGAGTCAGATGATGAGCCCGTCATCCCTGATGTGGTGCCTGTGGAGCCAGATGAGGAGCCTGTCATTCCTGATGTGGAGCTTGTGGAGTCAGATGTGGAGCCCGTCATCCCTGATGTGGAGCCTGAGGAGCCATATGAGGAGCCAGCCGTCCCTGGTGTGGGGTCTGTGGAGTCAGATGATGAGCCCATCATCCCTGATGTGGTGCCTGTGGAGCCAGATGAGGAGCCTGCCATCCCTGATGTGGAGCCTGAGGAGCCAGATGAGGAGCCTGCCATCCCTGGTGTGGTGCCTGTGGAGCCAGATGTGGAGCCTGTCATCCCTGATGTGGAGCCTGAGGAGCCAGATGAGGAGCCTGCCATCCCTGATGTGGAGCCTGTGGAGTCAGATGTGGAGCCCATCATCCCTGGTGTGGTGCCTGTGGAGTCAGATGTGGAGCCCGTCATCCCTGATGTGGAGCCAGATGAGGAGCCTGCCATCCCTGATGTGGAGCCTGTGGAGCCAGATGAGGAGCCCTTCTTCTCTGATGTGGAGCCTGTGGAGTCAGATGAGGAGCCTGCCGTTCCTGGTGTGATGAGGAGCCTGTCATTCCTGATGTGGAGCCTGTGGAGTCAGATGAGGAGCCTGCCATCTCTGATGTGGAGCCCTCAGTGTGGTGCCTGATGTGGAGCCTGTGGAGCCAGATGAGGAGCCTGCCATCCCTGGTGTGGAGCCTTCTGTCCCTGGTGTGGTGCCTGTGGAGCCAGATGAGGAGCCCGTCCCTGGTGTGGAGCCTGTGGAGCCAGATGAGGAGCCTGTCATCCCTGGTGTGGTGCCTGTGGAGTCAGATGAGGAGCCCATCATCCCTGATGTGGTGCCTGTGGAGCCAGATGAGGAGCCTGCCATCCCTGATGTGGAGCCTGTGGAGCCAGATGAGGAGCCTGCCATCCCTGGTATGGAGCCAGATGAGGAGCCTGTCATTCCTGATGTGGAGCCTGTGGAGTCAGATGTGGAGCCCATCATCCCTGGTGTGGTGCCTGTGGAGTCAGATGAGGAGCCCATCATCCCTGATGTGGTGAATGTGGAGCCTACCGTCCCTGATGTGGAGCCTGTGAAGCCAGATGAGGAGCCAGCCTTCCCTGGTGTGGTGCCTGTGGAGCCCGCCTTCCCTTGTGTGGTGCCTATGGAGCCAGATGAGGAGCCCACTATCCCTGATGTGGAGCTTGTGGAGCCAGATGAGGAGCCCATCATCCCTGATGTGGAGCTTGTGGAGTCAGATGAGGAGCCAGCCGTCCCTGGTGTGGAGCCTTCTGTGGAGCCAGATGAGGAGCCTGCCGTCCCTGATGTGGAACCTGTGGAGCCAGATGAGGAGCCCATGGTCCCTGGTGTGGTGCCTTGTTGAGCCAGATGAGGAGCCCGCCGTCCATGTTGTGGAGCCTGTGGAGTCAGATGAGGAGCCCGCCGTCCCTGGTGAGGAGCCTGTGCAGCAAGATGAGGAGCCCCAATCCCTGGTGTGGAACACCATTAAATACATAAATACATACATACATTAAATACATACATATTTACCACACAACACTACTACACGCTTTACCACAACACCAGACACCACATCACACCACATCACATGCATGTATCCATCATCCACCGTTCCCTCCCGCTCCCTTCTCTACAATACATACATTCATAACATCCATAATTACATACATACATCACATCCATTATTACATATATACATAACAATTTTCTACTTACATACATATATACATACATACATACACATACATACATACATACTTTACATACATACATACATTCACACATTACATACATACATTACATACATACATACATACATACATACATACATACATACATTACATACACTTATTCAACACACAACATTACGACACGCTATACCACAACACAGGACATAACATCAAACCACATCACATTACAGTACACCACACATACATAACATACATTTTTTACAAACATACATAACATTCATACATATTACATAACATTCATACATATTACGTAATAACATACACACATACATTACATACATACAACCTTACATGTATATACATATCGTAGGTTCATACATACATTACATACATTTATACCTTACATACATACATACATTTCATATATACATACATTTCATACATACATCATACATTACATACATACATTACAAACATACATACATATATACATACATTACATAGAAACATACCTTACATATATTTCATACATATGTACTTTTCATACATACATACATTACATACATACATAGATTCATTACATGCATATATACATACCAAACAACAGTACGACACGCTATACCAAAGCACAAGACACCAGATCACACCACATCACACTAAACCACACATACATTACATACATTTTTTACAAACATACATAACATTCATGAGATACATACATTCCTTACATTCATTACATACATACATTACATACAGACATTGTATACATACATTGCATGCTTCTCTTACATACATTATTTCTTGCTTTATTTTTATCTTGTTCCTCTTTTCTCTCATCTATCTCCCTCCTCTCTATCATCTATTTCTCCTTTGTTTTGAGATTTCTCTCTTGTTTTTCTTACTTTTCTCTTCTATATCTTATGGATGCCTTGTCTAGATATGCCATTTTTATGCACACACCGCTATTTAGACTTAGTATCCATGAACATTTCTTTGTTTCATTTCTGATGTACTTATTTTCTTTCTCTATCTCTCTACATACATACATACAAAGAGACAGACAGTTTGACAGACAATTAGACAGAAGAACTGACATGGGGTCCTTCTTCCCCTCTCTCATCCATCATTCCCTCTCGCTGCCTTCCCTACAATACATACATTCATAACATCCATTATTACAAACATGCATCACATCCATTATTACATATATACATAACATGTATCTCTTATGAACATACATACATTGTACATTACATACATACATACATTACATACATATATACATACATACATTACATACATATTTACCACACAACATTACTACAAGCTATACCACAACACAAGACATCACATCACACTACACCACACATATATAACATACATTTTTTACAAACATGCATTACATTCATACATTTATTACATACATACAAACATTCATTACATGCATACATACCTTTCATATACATACATTTTAAACATTCATACATACATTACATACATACATTACATACATACATACCTTACATACATACATAAATTTCTTACATAGATCATACATTACATACATACATTAGATACATACATACATTACATACATACATATTTACCACACAACATTACGACACGCTACACCACAACACAAGACACCACATCACACTACACCACTCATACATAACATACATTTTTTACAAACATTCATGCATACATTACATGCATACATACATACAATACATACATACATACATTATATACATTCATACATTACATACAAACATACATGCATACATACATTACATAGAAACATACCTTACATACATACATACATACATACATTTCATGCATACATACATTTCATACAGACATACATACATTAAATACATACATACATACATTAAATACATACATATTTACCACACAACACTACGACACGCTTTACCACAACACCAGACACCGCATCACACCACATCACATGCAGGTATCCATCATCCACCGTTCCCTCCCGCTCCCTTCTCTACAATACATACATTCATAACATCCATTATTACATACATACATCACATCCATTATTACATATATACATAACAATTTTCTCTTATGAACATACAAACATTACATACTTACATACATACATACATTCACACATTACATACATACATTACATACATACATACATTACATACATTACATACATTACATATACTTATTCAACACACAACATTACGACACGCTATACCACAACACAGGACATAACATCAAACCACATCACATTACAGTACACCACACATACATAACATACATTTTTTACAAACATACATAACATTCATACGTACATATTACATAATTACATACATACATACATACATTACATACATACAACCTTACATATATATATATATATACATATCATAGGTTCATACATACATTACATACATTTATACCTTACATACATACATACATTTCATATATACATACATTTCATACATACATCATACATTACATACATACATTACAAACATACATACATATATACATACATTACATAGAAACATACCTTACATATATTTCATACATATGTACTTTTCATACATACATACATTACATACATACATTACATACATACATAGATTCATTACATGCATATATACATACCAAACAACAGTACGACACGCTATACCAAAGCACAAGACACCAGATCACACCACATCACACTAAACCACACATACATTACATACATTTTTTACAAACATACATAACATTCATGAGATACATACATTCCTTACATTCATTACATACATACATTACATACAGACATTGTATACATACATTGCATGCTTCTCTTACATACATTATTTCTTGCTTTATTTTTATCTTGTTCCTCTTTTCTCTCATCTATCTCCCTCCTCTCTATCATCTATTTCTCCTTTGTTTTGAGATTTCTCTCTTGTTTTTCTTACTTTTCTCTTCTATATCTTATGGATGCCTTGTCTAGATATGCCATTTTTATGCACACACCGCTATTTAGACTTAGTATCCATGAACATTTCTTTGTTTCATTTCTGATGTACTTATTTTCTTTCTCTATCTCTCTACATACATACATACAAAGAGACAGACAGTTTGACAGACAATTAGACAGAAGAACTGACATGGGGTCCTTCTTCCCCTCTCTCATCCATCATTCCCTCTCGCTGCCTTCCCTACAATACATACATTCATAACATCCATTATTACAAACATGCATCACATCCATTATTACATATATACATAACATGTATCTCTTATGAACATACATACATTGTACATTACATACATACATACATTACATACATATAGACATACATACATTACATACATATTTACCACACAACATTACAACAAGCTATACCACAACACAAGACATCACATCACACTACACCACACATATATAACATACATTTTTTACAAACATGCATTACATTCATACATTTATTACATACATACAAACATTCATTACATGCATACATACCTTTCATATACATACATTTTAAACATTCATACATACATTACATACATACATACCTTACATACATACATAAATTTCTTACATAGATCATACATTACATACATACATTAGATACATACATACATTACATACATACATATTTACCACACAACATTACGACACGCTACACCACAACACAAGACACCACATCACACTACACCACTCATACATAACATACATTTTTTACAAACATTCATGCATACATTACATGCATACATACATACAATACATACATACATACATTATATACATTCATACATTACATACAAACATACATGCATACATACATTACATAGAAACATATACCTTACATACATACTTACATTTCATGCATACATACATTTCATACAGATATACATACATTAAATACATACATATTTACCACACAACACTACGACACGCTTTACCACAACACCAGACACCGCATCACACCACATCACATGCAGGTATCCATCATCCACCGTTCCCTCCCGCTCCCTTCTCTACAATACATACATTCATAACATCCATTATTACATACATACATCACATCCATTATTACATATATACATAACAATTTTCTCTTATGAACATACAAACATTACATACTTACATACATACATACATTCACACATTACATACATACATTACATACATACATACATACATACATACATACATACATACATACATACATAACATACATTGTATATACTTATTCAACACACAACATTATGACACGCTATACCACAACACAGGACATAACATCAAACCACATCACATTACATTACACCACACATACATAACATACATTTTTTACAATAACATAACATTCATACATATTACATAATTACATACATACATACATTACATACATACAACCTTACATATATATACATATCATAGGTTCATACATACATTACATACATTTATACCTTACATACATACATACATTTCATATATACATACATTTCATACATACATCATACATTACATACATACATTACAAACATACATACATATATACATACATTACATAGAAACATACCTTACATATATTTCATACATATGTACTTTTCATACATACATACATTACATACATACATAGATTCATTACATGCATATATACATACCACACAACAGTACGACACGCTATACCAAAGCACAAGACACCAGATCACACCACATCACACTAAACCACACATACATTACATACATTTTTTACAAACATACATAACATTCATGAGATACATACATTCCTTACATTCATTACATACATACATTACATACAGACATTGTATACATACATTGCATGCTTCTCTTACATACATTATTTCTTGCTTTATTTTTATCTTGTTCCTCTTTTCTCTCATCTATCTCCCTCCTCTCTATCATCTATTTCTCCTTTGTTTTGAGATTTCTCTCTTGTTTTTCTTACTTTTCTCTTCTATATCTTATGGATGCCTTGTCTAGATATGCCATTTTTAT